TCAATCTGATCCATAATGTATAGAAACCCCTCACTGCAGGCGATTCTTTGTAAGCAATGTTTTCGTTTTATTGTATTAGCGAATAGTAGAGACATTGCTTCGTCAACCGTAATGGGACTCGAACCCTCACTCAACAGTTTGAAGCCAGCACACTCAAACCACTGAGCATTGGAAAGCGTGTAGTTAGAGCTTCTGAGTGGTCGAGCGCGTGTAGGTGCCGCTCCGGCGCCAACGCTTCCGCGTTCAATTGCGCCAGGGCCCGGCACGGCTTGAGCAAGCCCACATATAACACGAGTGGGTGTGCATCCGTTTTGGAAGGTTGGGCGTAAACGCAAGCCCCCGCTTGGCCATAATCTCAAAAGTTTTGATAAACCGTAGACGGAGCTTTGTCTTGAAGACAGCAGAAACTGCATGGGCAGGAAGGTTTTCAGCATTTAATCTCCGACCTCAAAGTTTTTGACATTCCTCCACCTCCTCCGTCTGCATATCCCCTCTGCATGCCTTGGCGTTCAGCCATCGCATCGGGACCGTGTCGTAAGACCCTCGGTCTGTTGGACAGGAAGTCATCGACTCCTTTGCACACGTGAGAGGGCTGACATCAGCTAGCCGTTCGGCTATTCCTCCGCCGACACGCTCTGAGCCATGGGATGGCGGCGTCAGCGGGACGCAAGGATAAATGAGCCCGTCCATTTATAACGGCGTGTAACTGGTAGAAAATTGCACTGCTTTGTCCAGAGCGAGCTCGATGAGTGGCAACATGGCGCTCTTGTGTCTCGGCGATTCAGCGCATTGCTGCGAAGAACGTCTTCAGCGACACGATTCACGCACCTAGTTTGACCATCGGCCTGCGGATGGTCCGGGTTGGGATAGTCAGCTCAGTGCCCAGCACATTTAAGATCGTCGATCAAACTTCCCTGTGACGCGTGGGTCTCTGCCGAATTCCATGGGTTCATATTGCCGAACAAACAGCGTTGCTGGACCGACACCGTCGAACGTGTCCGGCACCGCCACAAGTTGAGCCATCTTTCTCTAACGGTCCACAAAGACCACCACACTCGTGTTGCCCGTCGAGTCCTTCGGCAAACCAAACTAAAGTCCAAACGTATAGGCTGACAACACCTGAAGGGTACCGGCAAACTGGCCAGCGGCGCCGCCGCATTCGGAGAGGATTTCCCTTTGACACGTCTCACCCAGGCGCACATATGTGATTGCCCATTTGTACAGCTTGAGCCACCAGAAGTGAGTCTTGTTGGTCTTTTCACGACCGAGACGACCACTGAGTGGGGTGTCGTGGGCCTCATGGAGGATATAGTTCTTCAGTTACTCATCGTGAGGAGCCACAATTCGTGGCGTATTCGTCGAGTCAGTGCTATGAAACAGCACTTCGGTATTCAATAAATTTCGGTGCAACCGTGCACGCAGTCTCGACGACAACCTCTTGTTCTAGTTCAAACTCCTTACTCCCGAGAGCATGTGGAAGCGCTACACACATACCATCACCCGCGTATGCAACGCGGATCAAATCCGTCACTGACGACGTCACCGTCTTGCCATGAGCAAGCTCATAATTTGATCTGCGTGACTACGCATCAGCCAAAGTATTCTGCTTTCCTCGCTAATTCTTCGCTCCGAAGTTATATTTTGCGAAGGAGGAGAGCCATCTGGCCATCCTCTGCGAGAGCAGGCGACTGAGTCGCATTGCTTAGCGACGGATGATCTGTGTATATCACGAACTGCTTGGAGCCAAACAGGTGAACTCTGAACTTGATATGTGCATACTTCATCGCGAGTAATTCCTTGTCGTGAATTGGTTAGGTCTTCTTTGCAGCCTTGAGCTGGCGAGATTCGAACGCGATCACCCGATCTCGCCCCTCGGCGTCTGCGTGCCGCAGTGCAAAGCCGATGGAAAAGTCCGAAGCTTCATAGACGACATCGAAAGAACCATCAAGGTCTGACAACACCAGTATTGGTGCATGCAGGAGTCTGTCTTTGATCCCATCAAAAGTCTCCCGCTGCTGGGTGTCACAACACCATTCCGCATCCTTCTTTAGAGATCCGAACGAGGCCGTGCCATTTCTGCTAAGTACTCGCTGCAGTTAAGCAGGTAGTTGGCGTGGTCAAGCCACTCGCGCATGTCCTTTTGGTTATTTGGAACCGTAGCGGGACCCGCTTGAACGCCATGTTGTTCCAGAATACAACTTATCTAGTAATCGGCGTATGTACTAGAATGGTGGCGGCGTTGAGCTTATTGTAAGCGTGAACGATACGTCACTTGCCGTTTGGTTTCTGGACACAAGATGTAGGTGTCGAATGGGGAGACTTACTTTCGCGTACCATTCCTGCATCGCGCTTCACACTGAGAAAGACGTCAATGATGTCACGCTGCTCCTTGGGCAGGGTGTTTTCGATACCATGTCGATCTCACTCGGTTCGAAAGTAGTATTAACGGCGGGTCTTTGGAGACGCCGTCTTAGACCTCCTTTACAAAAGGAAAGTACGGATCCGAGGATTCTTTAGGATCCTCGGATCCGTACTTTCCTTTTTGATGTCCTCCGGGACAGCTTCATTTCGAAGCAACGACGAGTTGGTCTCATCTTTAGGTCGTATATTGACCACATCGGCTAAGTCGCCTGCCTTCAAGGCACCGCCGAACTCTTCGCAGAACATCTCGTCCAGCTCAAGAAGAGCATCAACCGCTGGAATAGCTTCGAGGGTGACTTCACCGTCTTCCTCCCCCGTCATAACGTTGACGAGGGTGTATAGCTGTGCGCTATTGTCTACGGTAGACATATCCTGGGTCAGGAACGACGCCCGCCGTCGCCTCTCCTCAGATGTTGTACGCTGCACCTTAACCAGTGGAAACACGCACTCAGCGTCGTCCACTGTTATCCCCACTTCCTGCTCCACCGGAGCCCTGATGTTATTAACAACATCCGACGAAGAGCTGCAAACTCCGCAGTCTTCGTCAAGTGTTTAACGTGTCACTCCACGTGCATCTGAAGGGCCTTGCCTAAGATGCCTCGAGCCTCGTCCGACCATGCCACTCGTGGCAAGCAGCGACTGCTTCAAAACGTGAGCAGTGCTCAGTGGATTGCATACTACTCCACGTGCATTACCGGGGCGTCG